TAGGATCAAGCGCTTACCACCGAGCTAAAAGCAATTGCTTGTAGCTAAAGTGCAACTTTATTTCCATATAGTACGAGCATTTTCAGGGTCTGCACCTAGTTTACTAAACGCCCATGGGTGGGATGTTAAGCCCTTCAAATCGCTAAGGTTGACGCTGGATATTTTAATCCAATACTATACAATCTCTATGTTGATCATTTTTTCATTTGAAGACTGTATCTTGATGTAAGTTACCTTGACAAAAAGTGTCTTTTTGTTGACTTTTGAAATGACCTATAATGTTTTGGCTCATATCTCTCAAATGATGCATTTTTTGGACTTGAGCTTAGAGAGACAAAGTTGTAGAGAATTGAATTTCCTTCAAAATGAGCTTTGGTTAAGAAAAATATCATGAAGCAGGTAAAAGTTATGCTTGGTCAAAGTTCAATTGACTTCTCTTTAAGAAAACCCTAATTTAGCAACTTTTGACTTTTAATGAATTGAGAGTTTTCTTGATGAATCATGATCAACCCTTGATCAAATGATGAATATGACTTCAAAAATCTTGAAATTTGACTGTTTGTTGGCCACAATTGACTTTTTGTCCAATGTAGTTAATTTTCAGTCATCTGAGCAATTGACTGAGCAAACTTGTTATACAAGGCTTGAAACGTGGCATGAGCATTCTTTGAGACATATGAGAAACCATGAACTCCACTTGAGACATCAGAAGTCTAATCTTCTCTGAGAAAAGCAAAACCCTAGTTGTAGGCTAATTTCTTAGGAGGAGAATTTGTCTGACCAATTCTTGAGCAACCTTGAGCAATTGAGAACCCTATAAGCATGAGGAGATGTCTTGAAGAAAATGGGAGGGAAAATTTTGGGGTACAACACCAATCTTCTGATTTTATTCCACCAATGACCATGAAACATCAAAACATGAGTATTAGCCTCTTAGTTGACCAAAAGTTCACTTGGTCAACTTTGACTTTGGTTGACTTTTGTCAAAATGCATATTTTAATTATAGGTTATTAGAAACATTTTGAGAATCATGGAATCATTTGTTTATCAAAGAATCATAGATATCTTGTTTTTAGCTTAAACCCTAATTTTGACTGGTTGTGTTAGGAGGTTATGATCCAATCTCAAAACCCTAATTCCTTAGGACATGATGAGGAAATTCTTGAACAAATATATTTCATATGATAATAAGATGGCTACAATGGTGGTATCTCAACCTTTGAGCCTTCTCCCCATGGTCTTCTTTAGTTGACTAATCATAGTGCTTCAAAACCCTAACTTGACCAGATAAAAATTATTTGTGCTTGATGAGTGATCTTTGTGGATGAGAATCCCACTTATACTTGATATACTAAGTTAATTCCTCAACAACTTGGTTTCTTGATGTCTTGAGTTAAAATAAAACCATAGGATCCTTGATCCCATGAGTGTAACAATGAGTATGACCTAATGGTAAGTATACAAATGCAATGCAATAAGACAGATGCAAAGATATGAGGGTAGGACAAATTTGGGGCATGACACTTTCAAATTATTTTTCAAATGCGCGAATCTTTCCTGTAAGTCGAGGATTGATTCTCGGGGCTGCATTCAGAATAACTCGTACTCTGGACTCAAGGTATTCAATCTAGATCTTTTAACTTCAGCGGCTCCTTCATGAGTGTCTACCAATATATTCCAAATTTATTTTATTATTATGCATGCCGAAATGCGAAAGAATTCATCCATATTAAGTGCACCTTGAAGAAGATTAATTGTCTTTTTGTCATAGAGGAATTTTTTCTTATCATCATCATCCTTTGAACCTTTAGGCTTTTCCGTTTCAACACTGTTAACAACACTTATAGGAACAAATGGATCATTTTAGATAGCATCCCATATTTCTTCTCCTTGTGCTTCTAAATGAGCCTTCATGCGGATTTTCTAAAATCAAAGTATTCACCACAAAACAATGGAGACTTGTTATTGCTACCACCGTCTCTAAAAACCGGATTTTGATTTGCGGAAGCCATTCTAGATCTTTAGGAACAGGTTACCTATGACTTGCTTTGATGCTAATTGTAAGTATTAAGTGTGTCTAAGAGGGGGGGGGGGGTGAATTAGGACTTTAAAATTTTATCAGGTCTTAGAAATAAGTTGTTCTTATTTTTGGTTTGGTGTTTAAGTGTTTAGAAATGTATTTCTTTCTTTTCTGGTTATGATTTAATATGAAAGTGATAAATTCAAAAAAGTAAAGAACACAAGGATGTATTTTGATTCCTCTCACAGTCCGAGAGTACTTCAGCCCCCTTTCAACACGAAAGAGATTTTATTATTGTTAGATCTCTAGACAAGATAACCTAGTTTTTCTATACAAGACTCTAACCAATACAACCACCAAGAACAATCATCTTGGATCAACCAAGTTGAAATGAGAACAATCCTCTCACTTCAACCTCTTGCTTCTAACAATCCTAGACAACAAGGAATACAAAACCAAGTAATCTTAATTCCATCAATCTTGAAAAATAAGATATGAATACAATAAGATTTTTTAAGAATAATGAAATTTGTAGAACAATTATCAATTTGAGTGATGTATCAATATAATTGATCTTCCCTTCCAAACAAGCAACTTATAATGATAGAATATAGTGCTCAAGTATTTGTTTTTGGACTGATATGGAAATACATGCAGAAAAATTTCTTGTGAAAGTTCAAGAACACAAACACTTGTTTCGAAATTTGAATGATAAAAATGATGTTAATTTGTTATGGAATAGGTGATTTTGAATTTGAAATTTCATGTATTTATAAGTGTATAACATAACATCTCTATGAAACATGGTAAAGTTTGAGACATTTTTATGAAGGTTTGCAATAGTTTAGAATAATAATAGTTCATGAAAAAACATAATTATATAATGTACAGACTTATTAAGCCGGTCAAAACGGTCACTTGACTTTACAAGTTCGCAACATTTTTCAAATTTCAAATTTTAAAAATACAGTTTCAGAATGTTGTAAATTGTGGCGGTTTTTGTGCTATTACGGCGGGTAAACACGTCACAATTTACGAAACACTTAATGAAAAAAATTGTCTAAATTTTTGAACCAACCTTATGCAACATCTATTGATTTATCCAAGTCAATAGATTATATTTGAAAGTGATTTAACATGGTTGAAACATGAAAAAGTAAATTTTCTAATGCATGATAAAAAATATTTTGTTTTAAAGGTAGAAATAGTGAAATATTTTCAACCAAATGAACCATGCATGCAAGTGAATTTTGGAGATTATTTTGAGCACTATTTTATCAATATCTATTGCATGCTCATACCTCAATAAATTATTGCATTCTTGATCTATAGTCATATTGTTTCATGATGTTTTTTCTCATCATTTGATAAAGGCTCATAGTAATTGTCTTCATTAAAACATAATATTGAAGAAGCTTGACTTCACATCCTTCTTATCTAGTAGCATTAAGGAGTGATTGAATACTAATTTGTTTTTGGATTTTGGTTTTATAGTGAAATTTTTTTGTGGTCGGAACTTTTGGCTCCTCCTGTCACACCCTTTGGATATGGAAGAATAAGGAATAATATAATGAGAATTTTGTAAGACCTATAATTTTGTGGCATCAAGTTACTAAAGTCGCTCAGATAGTAAGATGGGTTTAGTTTGAGAAATTAAACAAATAAGGTGATATCTTTCTCATTCGAATTGGATGTGATTGAATATGGATGAAATTTAATGGTATTATAACCTGATGTGGTGGTTTATTAAGAAGTTGTACGGAAGAGTGGTTTGGAGCTTTCACAAGATATTTGAGTTTTTGAAGTGTCAATATTATTAAATTATAAAAACTGTTAAAAGAATTAAGATTAACAAAAGGTTTTAATTTTCAAACTATAGAACTTCATATAAATTTCAAAATATTTTGAATACTGGACATGATGGTATAATTGGAATTCATTTGATGCAACAAATTCAACAATTACTTCTATTGAATTGGGAGGTTCATATTTATTATATTTATCGCGAGTCGAATTCTTGAAAAAAATGGTCTTGTAAATATAGGTTGTAATTTAAGTACTAATTAACTTGATGTTTTATAAGCTAATTTATGCTCAAATTATTTTATTTTTTATTAATTAACTTATTGTATTAGAGTTTCTAACCTTAAGTTATTTGCCGTGTAATCTTTTCTCTTGCAATTCAACTCTCTTTTCTCCCCAAATAAATAAATAAAACAAACCAGATACCTTAAAAAAAAAAAAACAAATTTAGTGAATTTAGCATAGATAGTGACAAGTGCTTTGTTTGTTTGGATCTAAATTATTTCTTGTCAACTTAGATGATACTTGAAGGCGGCGGGTGCTATTATTGTCCCATAATGTTTTAAAAATATTTTCAACTGCTTCCTTCATTTTTTTAGTGACATCGACATCGCTATTAACTTAGTTCTGTTGCAGCAATGACAGATACATTTTTGGCACATAGTTTGTATTTTTTAGATATATTTTATTGCTTTTTTAGATAAATGACATAAACGATATTTCTTTGTTATTTCATTAATCAATTTTTTATATTTTATTAATCAATTTTGATTTATCATTAAAAAAAATTAGGATTCGTGAACTGTTCATGTGAATGACATTGTTTTGTCACTGTTTATGTTATTGTTCATCGCTTAAGTTGCTATTTACGTATTTGTTAACTGTGATCGATACGGATTGCTGTTTACGTATTTATCGCTCTTGTAAATAAATACAAAACCATTTGTACTTGAACAGTTCTTACCATTAAGGTAAAATCTTGTTTTACAATATTAAATTTACACGGACTCTTATTAACATCTGGACCATTAGTTTTATAACATAAGCTTAGATTCTCCGAATAAACAATCATTAGAATAATCCAAATTGACATTTTAATAAGGCAAACCTAAATTATACCCCAGAGTGGAAGACAGGGAAGAATTAAAGAACCAAACAGAAACAAGTATTTTCCTAATGCATATCATGAGTAGTTACTCTTTCTTCCATGATCCAGACCTAGAAATGTTACAACAAGATCCTGCTAATAATATTCATCATGTTCATCGTGACCCTACTCATGATTATCTTTCCTTTGATATGGTTGACCAAGTACCAACAAAAAGTGAGTCAAATCAACCTAAAGAAAGATCATACATAGGTGTAAGGAAAAGACCTTGGGGGAAATTTGCTGCAGAGATCAGAGATACAACAAGAGGAGGAAGAAGGGTTTGGCTTGGAACTTTTGATAGTGCTGAAGATGCTGCTTTAGCTTATGATCAAGCTGCATTTTCAATGAGAGGTAATAATGCTGTCATAAATTTTTCTGTACAAAGGGTTAAAGAATCTTTGCAAGAAATTCAATATGATTGCAGAAAAGGATCTTCACCTGCACTTGCACTCAAGGAGAGACACTATAACCAAAGAAAGTTGTCATCAAAAGGTGTAAAGAATAATAATAAATCAGGAAAACAAGATCAATCACAGGAATCATCATCATCAAGTGTTTTGGTGTTAGAAGACTTGGGAGTTGAATATCTTGAGCAACTTCTAACTATATCTGATAATCCAAGTACAAGCAACAACAGCTACTTCAAATCAACTTGTTGATTTCAGTAATTTTCTTTCCTTTTTTGATTTTTTTTCTTCTTGTTTTTTGGATTTTATACAACATTATTTATGAAGGTTTGCTTGTTTAGGTTTTGTGTTCTCTATTTTGTTTTTCACAAGAAACAAATTTTATTCATAATTTGAGTTCAAAGAGTATTACAAGTACCTTCATAAACAATATTGTTTGGGAAAACAACAAATAGAAATTAAGGAACAAAATTGCACCCAAAAATGATAATGCCTACAAAGTAATAACCCAACAAAAATTATAACACAGATTTCTTTCAAACATCCTGATATATCTACACTCTTCAAAACATTGTAAACCAAGAGTATAAGAGAAAGATATGAATCAGATGTAAACTATAAAGTGTCATTGTTTGATTCATTTTGTAACAAAAAATTAGAATTAATGCATATATATATAGTTTTAGTATACCTCTTCCTTTATAGTCCAAGACAATGTGAGACAATTTAATTCTAAGCTGAATTTCAGCCAATTCACACAAATACTAAGACAAAGACATCACATTTAGGTCATAGAATGTGCCACAGCCTTAAACATAGTTACTTTCTGGCAGGTTTGGTGTTAGATTAAGTGAAGACAACACGAGTAAAATTATATTGAAACTATGTAAACTTAAATAAGGTTTTAATGGCGTCAAACTCACTACTTTAATCTACTTAAAAACTGATGGATAGAGATATATCTCCATTCCTTTATATTCTTTCTCATAGCATAGTTTGATTCTATAACATAATCAATTGACAAATATCTATCTTCCCCTTTATTAGGCGTGAGATACAAATCCAATAAGATTAGAATGATAAGAAAATGCTGTCAATTGGAATCCTACACTTTAGCTGGTACAGCCATCTTCACACACAGTTTACAGCATTTTCAACCATAGCATGGCAGTAGATATCTAAAATGTTGTCTGATAAAACTATACACAATATCACAAACACAGTTTGAAAACCTAAGTAAGATTACGCACAGTAACTTTCCTTCCACTTGCAACCATATGTGTTTAAATTTACAGAATTGATTAGAGTTGGCATTGAGAGAAAAAGTAAATAGCGTTGTATTGTTGGAGAAAGTTAAGGTTTCTGGAGAGTCTTTCACTTCCCTAGGGTAATCCCCTATTCTCCACATAGACTACAGAATTTAAGGCCTGGGGAGGACCGAAACTAGAGGTTGCCGTCGCAGCATTATTACTGGTGTTGCGTACCTCTGCTGAATAGGTATCCAAATTTCAGCTTGCTATACGATCCAGCTCCATACCCTGAATAGGCAGTTTTAGTGAGTGGTCAATAAAACTGCAAACCCTAACCCTATTCAAAGGGGCGGAGCGGAAATCAGTTCCATGTCCGATTCTCACAGGGTAAAATGAAAAAGCCAACAATATAATACCTAGTGTTTTATTCATGGATCTACATGAACAATTTTACACAATTACCTAATCACAATACTATTTTTTTATGTCATATTTTCTCTGTCTCTTAATAAAAATTAATAAATAGAGATATAATAGTGGAAAAAAATAATAAATATTGTAATGTTATTCTAAAGAGATATTTAATTTAAAACATAAAAAAAGTATAAATAAGACATTGACATTTATTATGAGATAAAGGAAGTATTATTTTTTAGTTACAAAGAGCACTGGTTATAAAGAAATGTAATAATATTGTCACTTTAATATTTTTATACATAGATTAAAAAATGTAATAATATTATCATAAAACATTACATTCTTACTAAATTTATCTTCTAAATATGTTGGAAGTAATATTCAACATAATAATTAAAAAACACAATTGAAAAAATAACAATTATTTCTATATTAAAAAATATGAATGATATTTATTTTAAAATAAATTTTATTTATTAAAATAAAAATCATTTTGAAACCTAGAGAGTTCAAAATAAGTATAATAAAAGAAACACTTAAAAAGTCAACATAGTTAGCGTTATGATGCTTAACAATTGAGTAAGTCAAACTACATGGTGAGTTTGTATCATAGATAATATCAAGAGGGCAGGGATTTGTATCTAGGGTTGAAAATGAGACAGGATAATAGCAGAGACCTACAGGCTAGTCTACATAGGCTTAAGTCAGACTAGACTTTTTATTTAAATAGAAAAGGTCCACACTTTTTTATAAGTCTATTTAGTTTTAAAAAAACTAGGATATATACCGTAAAAAAAGTATTTTACCCCTATTAGACCGACCTATTTAAATAAATATGAATAATTTATTATTATTATTATTATTATTATATGGTGTTTGTATTTTAAATTAAAATACAAAAATAAAGTTTATATGTTTAAAATGACTTATGAAAATACGGTGAAAAAACTTTATGAATAATGTCATAAGTTTTTTTCATAAGTTCTTTCAAACAAATAGTATCACAAAATATATGTTAATAAGTAAACTGAAATAAGTCAATGTAAATAAGCATTTAGTCTAATTAATCTTTTAATTTGTTAGTCTATTTTAACATTAATTAATTGCTTATTTAAAAATGCTTAAATAAAATAGGTTTTTATTTATGTTAATAGGCCAATCAGATTTTTGAAAAGGTCAGACTCAGGCCTACAAACAAGCTTTTGATAAGTCATAGGCCAGACTTAGACTTTGAAATTTTTAACAAATCAAACTCAGACTTGACAAAACCTAGCTCAGTCTAGTCTATTTTCACTCCTATCTGTATCCCTACATATCCTTTTAACATTGAAACCCTAAAATGTATCTTTCAAAACAAATCAATAAGACAAAACTATAATTACTCTATAATCGCGACGTAAGCAATTCGATCGAACTGTGTGAACAAAACTTTATATGTTTCTCACTACTTTAATACGTATTTGCGTACCTGTTCCAACATAACACTTCTCCACTTTCATCAAAGATACAAAATTTAGTTCGTCTGAGCATATGTCATTGACCAGTAAAATTAGTTTGAATGGTTCACTATGAAAAGAGAGACATAGACTCTTTAATACTTTGTGTCTTAAAAGAAAACAAAGGATAAGTTGTGTCATGGATTAAGGTGACTTAGAGTTAGAATTAATGTTGCGTGAAGCAGGATTAGATCGATGTACTGTCAGCAGAGCTTAAATGTATACCAGATGTAGTATGTAATTGAGCACAAGATTGTTTAGTAGGTAATGACTTATTTTTTTATTCGGTAGGTCTAGATGACTTTGACACACGACACATAAGCCATGTATTAGCGAATCTAGAGGAGCAATTGGCACGGTTATGCATTGTGTTGGACATTACAAGTAAAGCTAACACCCTAGTTCAACAAGCATTAATAGCCTAAGAAAATAGATACATGTGTATTTAGTAAAAGCATCAAAAAATACGTAAGAGTATGTGTTATTTCAAAAAGAGATGAATACACAGTTTTTGATAAAGGTGCTTACTACATATTTGATTTCACTAAACAAAAATTGCAAAATTCAGATGAACTTTTATTGCATAAATGTATATTACACAAACCAAAAAGAGTATGAATATTTCTAGAGTTTGCATGTCCTAGTTTGAAATTCTAAATTGAAACAATATTGAAAATTGAACCGGTATTTATAGTTGATCGAATTGCAATTTTGTTACTCACAACGCTAAATACATAAAGGGATAGTTTTGGTTCAACGGTAAAGTTGTACTATTGCGACTTTAAGGTTATAGATTCAAACTCTGTTAGAAACAGCCTATCTGTTATAAAAATAGTGATAAGGTTGCGTACATCCGACCCTCCAGAACAGGTTGACCAAAACACAATTTATTATTAAACTCATCCACAAACCAACAAAATCAAGTTTGAAACACAAATTTTACTGAATGTATAACATGTAAATGAATTTATAAACTATACTCACTAAGTTTGAAATACTACACAACACACTTCCTTAATTCAAATTTTCAACAAGTAATGCACACCAGAAGCTACTGCTTCGAAAGCTATCAGAGCTTTAGAATCTACTTCTAAAGTTGCTGCTTCAGAACCTACTTCTAAACCGCTGCTTCAGAAGCTATCAAACCTTCAGAAGCTAGTGGACTAAAAGTTGTTCCAACCCTTGAATCTTTCCTAGGCTGATGGTTCATAAGCTATTAAAGCTTCAAAAGCTAGTGGCCAGAAGTTGTTTCAACCTCTGAGTCAAATGCCACCATTCTCATTTTTGTTTCTAGCTTAAAGAATTATTCTCCTTTTTACAAATTTAGTCAAGATATCAGCAATTTGGTCCTTGGTAGGACAATATCTCATTGCCAATGTTTCTTTGTTTACTTGCCCCCTTATGTAATGAAACATTGTTTCAATATGCTTGGACCTTCCATGAGCGATAAATTTTTTTGCTAAGTTAATTGCATATTTGTTGTCAACGAGAAGCTTGATTGGTACTTGAATGTTTACTCCAAATTAAGTCAGTATAGTTTCAATCCAAGCAGCTTGACAAGCAACTAAACAACTAGCAATATATTTTATCTCACAGCTAGACAAAGCCACAACATGTTGTTTCTTAGAGATCCAAGAGATTGGAGCTCCTTCAAACTTGAACACATAACCTGTGGTATTTCTCTTGTCCTATTTGTCACCACACTAGTCTGAATAAGAAAATCCTATCACCTCTTCCTTGCTTTTGTTTCTTCCATATGAAAAGAATACACCATGCCTCAAGGTTCCCTTAATGTATCTTAGTACTTTTTCCAGCCAGCAAATGAGACTTCCTTGGATCATGCATGAACTTTCATAATACTTCTACAACAAAATTGATATATGGTCGATTATTATATAGGTACCTCAATGATCCAATCATCTGCTTGT